CGGGTGGAAAAGTTATAGCGCCATTTTACCTAAATCACAGGTCTGTAAGTCCCTCTAATGACCAAGAGTGGTATGGTTTTTCGTTTTTTGCCGCTGGCTGTGAAAAGAGGTCGATAAATTACGGTCTGATCCCAAGTGCACCGCCTGCTCCCAGCAATTTTGTCTCAAGATCGTTTACGCTTGCTTTTTTCCTCTATCTCTGTTTTGCGCGTGTGATGCTTTTGTAAATTTGCGATTTGCATATTTTATGATTGCCGCGGGTGGACCACCCCCCACCCGGTCTTATAGCGAACCATCGCTTCAGCTTTAACTCGTTCCTACTTTTTGCGATATCCTAAGCTTGATCGTTCGGCATTAATGACACCCGAGCTTCGGTTTCGGCCATGTTCTACTTCTTTCTCGCTTTCCAACCGATGCATCTCGCTTGTTTAGCTTGAAGTCCCCTTGTGTTTCGTAAGCCCCCTTTAACGTCGCATACATAAACACGCGCGTTGCGTTTCTGCCGACTCACACTCTTTGGAAATTCCGAAAATTTTAAGAGTGTGAGGCGAGTTAGAAACTTTATACATTCGCGCAGCGTGGTCAAGGGAGTTCTCTGGTGATAGAGGATGGGAATATATGTGACTGTCTTTCTCTGCGTTGTTATTACTCGTCTCCCCCGCGTTTATGTGAGTCGATCAGCCGGTTGAACCGGTCTTCCGTGGCGACGCGCAGAAGTGACCTGCATGTATCCCCCTCTTCTGTGTTTTCCTCCTTCACTCGTTTCACTCTTCGCACTCTTCTCTGCACGCGGCAGGATCAAGAGGGAGGGTTAAACGCCCCACTCTTATAGTACATGGAGAGCTTGCTCCTTAGCAGGACGAGTTTTTCCGCCTTTTCCGGCGTTGGCCAATCGGCGTGCGCGTCTGATGGGCGGTCATCCCCAGCTCTCCAACCTTTTTTTTTCCTCTTACTCTTGCGCTCTTTCAGCGCGGTCTGCACGGTTTCAAGCTCACGACGCACCACGCCGCGCTCGGGCTGGGCGTATAGTGGGGATGGACGCTGCAAGGCTGTGGGTCGACGGTCGACGCACCGACCGAACGAACGCCAAACCTAGGCTTAAAAAGCTCTCCCTTGATCCGGCCGCTTTAAAAATACATAGCTCGCCTACTACATGCTTTTCGTACTGTACGCAAAACTTCCAAATGGCTACCTACCCCCAGCCATTACCGACAGCGCCAAATTATACCGAATCTACTACATACTAGAAAACCCGCCGAAATTTCACGACGTATAATTATACGACAAGAGATTTGGCATCATAATTAAGAAGAACAATGCATAATGGCGTCGCTGCTGCTGGTTGTGTATATGTGGTTGCGTGTTTGTGTGCTCGAATAGCTCAAAGCTCGAGCCATTATTGTATCCGCTGGCTTGCGCACTGGCGCTCGGCACTATTTAAAGAGTTTCATTATTTATCGCCCGAAGGCCTCGAACAATGCAGCAAAAAATTGTCTATGAATGCGCGCGGCCTTGCGCGCCGAATTTTCGAGCTTTTTCGGCCAACAGCGAGGCGCGAACGCATGTGCTCGTGTGCATTTCTATTTCGAGGCAATAACAGCGTCGCTAAAGCAGGAGCCGGGCCCCGATTAATAGCTGTAAATTTGTATAAGTCCGAAATCCGGCAATAACGTGCGCGCCTAGGACCGATGTCACATAGAAAATGCGCGCTCGTCGCCAAAAGCACGCGGAAAACACGAAACATTGCGGAGAGTAGCGCGAACAATTCTACCCACAGCGAAATTAAATTATAGCGCACCGAACAAGCCGAATGTTTCTGTTTTTCCTAAGCGAGAAAATGAAATAGCCGAAAATTACACACAAAAAAGTAATTATTACAAAAGAAAACTATAGGCAACCCAATTAACATACATCTGTTACTCAAGTTGCGGTTAAAAAATCTAAATGTTTGAATTTTAATTCTTGAATTGAATAAATTGTACGTAACTTTAATTACAATTGTTGTGTACGCGCATGTCAAGTCTTTACGTTTCGGTGTTGTCTACATCAATTCACCTTGTCTACGATCGCCTCGCCACATGCTTCACACATTTATAAATGTGTGCATCAGGTGCAAAATGCGCACACAGCACGCGTACATTATTGAAGGCTTAAAAGAGGTTCGATAAATCGTTAATCAGCGCACCTTCTGAAATATTCACAAGAAGTTTTATTCTCTCTAACTCAACGAAATTGTAATGTGTAGTGTTCGTTTGTATGCTTGGCGACAAGTTGCATTTGTGGAGCTTTTTACGGTTGTCATGACTACTTAATTGCGCTATAGTACAAAATACTCGATTTTTAATTAGTCCGTCGTGCAGTGGTCAACGGCACTCACTGTCTCGTCCCCGCAACGTGGAGCCCCGAAAAAAGGTTTCGTGCATTTGGGGGGGCCTCGACTAAATTGAACGGAATCCAATAATTCGCTCTCTGAGAGGCGGCCGCCAGCCGGTCAAACTACTCGTCGCTAGTCGCTAGTTTTAGTCCGAATGCATTTGCTCCACTTTTTTTAAAAAAATTTTTTCTAATTGAGAAAACCATGCATAAATTTAATTCTGCTGAATTTTATATTTATCCACGCAGGAAGTTGTCACTGCTGGTCATTTTACCAAAGCGGTGAATGTGATACTTTGATAGTGCGTGCGTTTTTAAAACCAACATCCGTTTCGTTGGCTGGAAGCCCCACGGCGCGCACGGAAAACACGCAAAAACAAAATGGCTGTACATTGGAGTCTCATGCAAGTTGGCGGCCGGCACACGCCGCACACACATCCAGTTCCGGCGAGAGGCGCGCGCTTTTGAGCTGTCCGTTTCTAATTAGTGTTGCCTCGTTTTCCTCTTTCGACGCAGCGCCTCCTTTCTCTGCGAAACCTATTTGCTCGCTGTGTACGCAGGCCGCTCCCCGTCGTTTCTTTATGCGCCATAATTCTGTGCCCGCTATTACAGGACGTTTTGTTTTCCGCACAATGGTTCATCAGGAATCAATGCAATTTTGATGCGTTGGTAATTTGTGTGGTGATGGATGGCCCTGTATGCGCAGACAGTTATAAACGATACGTTTGCCCTTTTGTTCAAACAGTAATTTGCGGATATAAGAAACCGAGCCCATTTGTAGATGAGTGTGTGTGTGTGGGTGAGTGTGCAAAGCAGCGATGGCGACGGGCGCGACGAGCACTAGCTTTTTAGACTAATTGAACCCATTTCGTTTGACGCTGCAAGCTTTGCCATCGGCAAACAGCGACCGCCGAGGCTGCTAACGGCCGAGCATCTAGTTTAATAATAGCCTGCGCTTATCAAGCAACATGAAATTATCTTTCGTTAAATTTATATTTGCAGACTGAGTCACCTTTTCGCTTTAGCAAGTTTTTACCTTATTTTTACGCTTAGATTTTACACATTTTGAAATTTTATTTTGAGTACCTATAATAGGGTTTATTACTTATAGGGAAGGTAGGCCAAGTCGTACCCTAAAATACAATTGGCCCTATAGTGAAAGTTTTGCAATATAATGTCAGTTTTTCGACATATTTACCTGCTTTAGTTAATATAGCTTTAATTCGTATGAGAATAATTACTCAGAAATGTTTATATTCTTGTAAAACATCAATTTAACAAAAATGTGTGAACGGTACGACTTAACAAACAGGTCTGTTAAGTCGTACCATCGATACCCTAAGTCGTACCAATGCCAAAGTAATATCAAAATATAAGTACCTATATAAGTACCTAGGTGTCTGTCTATACCTATATTGGTTGACAATTATGGTGATTGATAGCTTATTAGCATTGAAATATCAACTGGCTAAGTAAGATTTTGACTTATATAGTTTTACGTCATCCTAAATTCAATTTAAAATTGCTTTATTGTGCAATATTAAATTTTCATCTTGTAACACGGTTTTTAAGTGTATTTAAAATTAAAATCAACAATTTTCTAGTACCATTCAGGACCAAATCTGCACGATACACATTTGGCAGATGAAATATTAGCAAGTAATTCATTGATATTTTATTATTCTTTAATTAACAATAATAAAGAATTGCACATACGAGATGTGCAACTATCTGAACTTTCCTGATATTTGAAAACCTCAAATTAAAATGTTTTTTTCAAAAATGTAAAAAAGGTAAAATTTTAGTTTTTTTGCCGCTATATAACCAAACATAACCTCAATTATAATCTATACTCTTAAATGTGTAGAAATAGAAATATAGATTTGTATCTGTCTATCTATCTGGGAATGCGTCCCATGTGCTCCACGAGTCCCATCATTGATTGTGCCTCGCTGGAATTACACAACGCATTCACTCGCAAATGTGCACGCTGTATTGTATACTCATTCGTAGCGCATAAAAGGTACCAATAACAATAATTCTGTGCGTTTGTTGACATTATCGAACACTTGCATAGTTAATAATTACTGAATTACTGAAAAATTTTCTTTTTCTTTCTTTCGTTTTACCTGCCACTAATACCAAGCAAATTACTAGATAAACAATAGAATTAAATTAAAAGCGTCTTACCTTTTGGAGAAATAATTGCGGGATCAACAAAAAGCATTTTTAGCAAAGCAGAAACAAAGCAAAGCAACTAAAAGCAGGAGGAATGTGTGCACTTTATTAATATTTTTATATTTCATGGATGTGGGAATAAAAAAATCGCACAAAAACAATAGAAGCGTTTTTTTGATGTTCCGAACGAACAATATAAGCAAATATCAAAATATAATTTGATATAAAAATAATATAAAAACAAATTGTATTATATAAGGTAAAATAGGATAGTCAACTGAAGCAAGTTTTATTTTAGCATAATTTAAGCCCAATTAAGCAAAATTTCTACACAAAAAGCAAGGATATTAGGAATTTGGTATAAAAATAAGCAGTAATAATTCTATAAGCAGCAAATAGTACAAAGCATTAACAAAAATGTTTTCATAATCTTTCAATTCGACAATTACCATGTGAGTTTTGTTTGTTTGAACACCCTGTAGTTCCATCCACCCTTTTTGATATCCTTCCTCATGTTCCTTTTCCTTGCTCCTCATTAAATCCGCTCGACGGTTTCTTCCTTAAACCCCCAGCTTAGTTCATTCCGTCACTCGCCACTAGATGTCGCAAATGTCCTATTGGTCAGCCCTCATCTTCGTGCATTCACATAAAAATACAAATAAAATCAAATAAAAAGTGTTGCAGGCAAAGAGATGCAATTTACATGCAGTTACGAGACGCACGTGCATCGCGTTACGTTTGTGCAGCACACAAGCCGGCAAAAAAACGATATTTATTTTATTTATTATCATATTACAAATGTTTTCGACGCAAACACGACCACACGTATATGGCGGACAACGAAAACGAGTTGCCTAAATATTTGTGTATTTGCTTTGCGTCGAATGAAATGTGCATTATACCTCTATCTCGTTACACACGGTCCGGAACATCTGATTTTTTCGACGTGAGTGTGTTCCATATTTGCAATTTGTTTGCAAACCGAAAAAAATCAGTGAAAACTATTTGAATTGTTGCATCGGATGATGAGATTTTGGAGGAAGATCGATGGCCACTGAAATAAAAAAAAAATAATTGTAAATTTACATTTTTGCATACAATTTTTTAAATCTTTATATTTTTTATTTTTATTTTTTAAGAATGTGTTCTATCTTAGATCATAAAAAGGCATTGTGCGTTATATTTGTCAGAGCTAAACCTAGTCGTGGGTTTGATTGTCTCTTTCGTAGATACTCTCAGTCCGCACTTTGTTTCGCTCGCACCCTCGGCGGCGGCGGAAAGCGAGTGTACGACGACGCATGCGTTTTTAGCCTGTAAGCCAGGCGGAGGCAGGCGTCCCTAACGATCGAAGCGGCGGCGACAACGATGTGTCTGCCCGCCGACGCTGTGGCGAGTGCGCAAGATTGCGAAGAAAAATGCACCCCCGGACTTTGTACAGTCACACAATAAGTAGGAATTTAAGTTACCCTAAGATTTTTCTTTAAAAATTCATTCTTTTTACATTTAACACAATAAAAAACAAATAAATACAAAATAAAATTTAAAAAATTCAAGATTTTAATTGGAAACAACCCTAACCTTACAATTTACGGCATTTTCATCATAACCTAGCTTCTAATCTAATATTTGTTATCAACAATTATTGATTGAGTATTCCTTTTGTCATGTTCTTGGAATTTGATACAAACTCCACATCAGTGTAACACTGATGAGAGTATTGTGCTTCTAATTTTATCATAATGCAATATGGCTGAGGTTGCTATTTAGGAAAACAAAACATAGCCATACAATGAACACCGTAGTATGGTGTTTGTTTCATCTCTGTCTACCACGAAAGTAACATAATATTATTACAATGCAAGTGGGAGTGTAACTAATGAGGCAGTGATCGAATGATTGTCCTGACTTGTTCTTCATTGTGTTGTTTACTGATTTTAATATTAATATGATCTATTGTTTACTTGAAAGTAAATTCAAAGATAACACATTAGTAAAATCAATTAACAAAATATATTATATCTTATTATTTTATTATATTGAATTATATCCTTTTATTAATTAATTATAAAAAGATAAATATTTAAAAATTATTTAGATGATACTAAATTTATCCGCTTGATGTCGCTGCGACCGCTGTATTCGCATTTTTGCAACCGTATACTGCTTGTGTGACAGAGTGCGTTCGTGATTCTTTTATTCGCGCGCGTTCTCAGTAACCTGCGTGGCGTGCTTTGTGCGGAGATTTTTATTACAAGTGTTTTGTGTTTCGTGAACTATTGTGAACTGAAATGGAGAAGTGGTGAATATTCAGCTGCCAGGCATTCCGTTGAGAAGACCTGGTATGTACTCGTATCATATTAACGTTAAACTTAAGTTTTGTTAATAAATTAATATTGAAGAATGTCTATTAGAGTGTGTATAAAATGAGGTTTGTATTGTGTTCTTGATACTATGCATCGCAAGAGCGTGTATTGGTTTCGTTATCGTGTTTTGTGCATATCTTGTTTGATAAACAAGCAAAACAACTTGTGTTTAAGACGAAATACTTGATACATTCACTCTGAAACTATGTGAATGTTGATATTTTGGTAAATTTATAAATGCTAGTATTGAGTAGTTAGTTGTAGTTAGTGAAAAACTATTAATATTAAAATTATTAATATTTCTTGTTTTAGTTTATAAAAATCACAAAGAAGTAAAGTATAATAATGTGACTTTTAGCCGAATGGCTCCAATTTTTAGCGCGAGGATAATCTGTTGCATTTTACTTTGTTGAATGCGCTATGGTATTACGGAATGCGGAGCATGGGTCCGCGACAAAAACGCATTTTGTGTCGACGTGGCCGAACGGCGGCGCGTGGAGTCGACCAGAAAAGCTTTCCCGCTTGCATGGGTTGCGCCATGCTTCGTTGGCGGTGGTGGCGGCGGCGAAAGCTTTCGGCATCGTAGCCCGTTGTGTCTCATAGAGTGCGACGGGTTTTCGCTCAGCGCTAGCCCGAAACAAAGGAAAAATTAGTTGGGAACTAACGCAAGTGTGCACCACGGCCAGCCGGGTGACAAAATAGGGGTTGGTTGCAATTCGCACTAGTGTCGCACCCACGTCGGCAAATATCCAGAAAACAACGAATTCCGACTGGTGCGTGCGTGTGTGTACAGTGACCGAAACCTGGTATGTCGTATAGTCATAGAGGTGGTCGTAGGCTTCGCGCCATCATATAGGAAAGTAGGAAAGGCACTCCTGGCGGCGGCATTCGTAGGCAATTCGCAGCTTCGGCCTGCACGAAATTACTCCACCACAACGCCGCTGCGCTATGGTCTAATGCACGCACATACAGACGCGATGAGCATGGATGTTCGCACATGTACGCAACGGAAACGAGTATTATCCGTTCGCTTCTTGTTCTCGTCGCTAATGCTTGCGCTGTGTTGGCAAAATGTCCACGGAATTTCTATACAAATAGCTGCGGATAGTCTAGGCATACAGTGCCAAACTAATCAAAATTTGCAAAACGAAATTTCTATCATTAATCCAGTTCTATTTGTTATCATTTTAACTCGGAAATATTTACATCACGGTGCTTTGTCGCTGAAAAACCAAAAGTTTGTATAAAAGCTTTCCAATTATGTGTAATTGTTTGCGTATAGTTCAGCTTCAGGTCCGCATTCTCCATCTTCTGAGTGGGTGGTCACAAACGCTTTGGATACGCTGTTAATACACATGCATGCGCGCCGCAAACACGATGCACAGTCGCAGACAATGCGATTGTCTTCTTTCAACAATTGCCAAAGCACAGTGCAAGCAAATGAAATGAGTCAAACAACGAAAACGTTGAATAATTAATCGCGTTTATTTTTCCGCCTTTCAATGCAAATTTACATAAAACGCGTTAATTTATTATTAACTTCTTTATCTTTTCGATGATGAAATTAAGCCTATTCACGTGCGGTGTGGGTGATGCTGATGCTGAGATAAGTACGATTAATCTTTGTCTGGATTTGTGTATATTTTGCATGTGCTTCCTTCCGAAAACGCCTCAGTGGCATTTGGTTGCTATGACGATTCGTGATTTACGACGTGCCATTATGCCCCTCACGGAACCGCTGACCCTTGATCCCTAAAGTTAGAAATTTTTCTTTTCTGCGTTTGCCCCTTGCAAGGAAAATACGCAAAAGGGTGGCCGCCATAATCCTTATACCTACTTGATTAATGGCAGCCGAAAGTAATTGCTATTCCTTTTTGTTTGCTACAGTTTGTACCCTTGTGTATTATACTCTGGGGGTGTATCAGAAACTATTCTTTGATATTTAAAAATTCAAAATTTACAAAATTATTTATTTTTCCGTTTGATGAAATTATTAATAATTAATTAATAGTTTTGTTTTTTGGATAAAATGAAAATATTTGCAGAAAAAAATTAAAATTTTTGTATTTTGTGGTAACACCCTGTATGTGAAACCGGTTTGGTCGAAAAAGGGTTAATTGGATTTGCTGTGCGGAGTGTACGGCGAGTGGTAAGATGAAAGATGAGGCGAAGAGGGTGCAAGGCAAATGGCGAGGGTGTGCGAGGGGGGCAGCGGCGTCGGGTTAAACTTGCTATAGCGGCGGCAAGCGCCCATCGGCGTTAATATTCGAGGGTGTCGCCGGCGATGTGTGAGTGCGTATATCGGGCAGGACTAAGACCGCAACCCTCCCTTGTCCTTTCCTTTCGTCCTCCGCCCTTACGTCGGAGCAAACGGAATGCGACTCCCACTCTTACGGCGGTGGCGGCGGCTGCTGATCAATACAGCTGCGAGCCAGGAGCTTCTGCAAGATTTTTAGCTTAGGTTGGCCGGGCCGCGACGCCCCAACGCCGCCGGAGAAACCACTCCTTATTGCCTCAGCTCCTGCCAAGTGAAGGAGCAAGCCGGCGCCCGGGCGACGGCCGGCGGTATCGAGTCCTCTCACGCTCACGCATACGCCGCGACGCCGTCGGCTATTACGTCGGCTTCCCCTTCTCTGCAATTAATGCTCGACGAGTTTGCAAACGAAGGGCCGCGATAACATCCACCCGGAGAAAAGAATACTTTGCTTTAAATTCGAGTCAAAAGAAAGAAAAAAAAACATTCTTATTATATTTTAAAACAAATAAATGCGTTTATTGTGTTTGGATTATATGTAAACACAACGAAAAATGGAGAAGAAGAAGAAAAAAAATTAGGTACAGATTGTGGCGTGAAGTCGGGCATGTGGCCACCACGCGTGCTTGGGGGTGTGAAACTGGCCGCGCGTTTTTAAAGCTGCGGTATCCATTCGGTCTCTGCGGTTCTCCTTCTGCACACGCTTTTTCTGCTGCTCTCCATTGATAACCTCGGCGGTGGAACACATCCACATGCAAACCACGCGCACACGAACATCGCACGTCGGCTGCAACCGTTGTGGCACTCTTTGTAGCGCTCCTTTTACTTTCTTTTGTTTTTCGGCGCGCACGCTGCCGGTTTTCCTTTCATCGCGCCACACACACACACATTCGCACGCGCTCGAATTAATGAGGCATCATTATCGCACATAATACGAATCGTTTTTATTCTTCATCGTTCATTTACGCTTTCCAATATACTAATAAAAGCGCATTGTCCATTCTACATGATGGAAAATCATTAAAAATGCGACCTGTATTTAATTGTCTAGCGCGTGCGGCATTTTTATTGTCTGTTGTTTTGCAGACGTGCGTGCAATTTACAAACGAGCTAATTATTAAATAAAATACGCGCCGCATTTTATTATTATATCATTTCATCGATGGCCGGTGTTAAAAATATACGGATGGTAATTTGTTGACATTGCATTAGCAATTAAATTATTAAACAAATTCGTTCGTTTTTCATATCAATAAATAAACACATTTTTCACATTCTCGCGTAATTATATGGCGAAAAATGTGCACATTGGACTCTTTAAATATTGATTCGGTAATTGTTTAACCGCTAATTTGAATTTATTATTAATTTATTTGTACGCGTTTTTTTTTAAATTTATTGAAATAATAAGTTTTTGGTCCGGAGGAAATTCTATAC